TTTTTTTCCCCCCCCCCCCCCGATTCTATTTTAACTACAGTAGTCAGACAAGTAGCTGGCAAGAATGTATTCTATGCTTCTTCACAGCTTTCCCTGAGTAAGAAGGTTCTATATAGGCATTTATGATGCTCCTTTTCTATATTTCATAATCCTTTTGTAATTTTTATGTGTGTTCTCTTAAAAAACTAATGTATCAGATTGGAACTTGAAAACTTTCTTACTTTTTATTAGACATTTTAAAGAAGACATATAAACAGACATTATCAAGAAAAAAGATAAATGGATAAAATACAAATGAATAAACTTGAAATAGAATTAAAATGTCATAGGGATTATAGTTTTCAAATATATCATTAGTTAATTATGAATAACTGAATATATTATACTGTATTGTTTTAAAAGATTAAAAGTTGCTATTGAACTTTAAGCTAAACATGAATATCAAGAACGATAGTCAACACAGTATCAATCTGTTGAATAAAATTATATGCTACTGTAAATTAAATCCATGGTATTAAAATATCCTGTAAAATTGAAATATGGACTATCCATAGAAAAAACCCCATTTTGGATCTGGTATAAATTCATCAATTGTCATAGTAAAAAAATGATTTTCAGTTTGAATTCAATCTTCTATCTGATTTTTTTTTTTTTTTTTAAGAATTATTTGTTTTTTTAGATACTGACTCCCATAACTTAGCCTTTTTTCCACTGAGGGGAATCAACCAGCCTTCCTTGCAGCAGTTAGCATATACAAAGCAAATTTAATATACTTTGAAGGAATATGTGGTTTTGTAATGTTCAGTAAAAACATTGCAGATTGAAATGGGAATTCATCTTTTAAGATTTGTTTCAAAGTAGCATTAAGTGCTTTCCAAAACTGTTGGACTTTAAAAGATTGCTGCCAAATAGGAATTAATGATCCAGTGAGAACTGGAGTAAGATACCAGTGGTAAAACATCTTACAGGTAGTCCTTGCTTAATGACCACTTGAGACTGGATTCTCGATCATTGAGCAAAGCAGTTGTTAAGTGAGATGCCCACGTGACTGCTTCACTCAATGACTGTAATCCAGGCACTCTTGGTTGCAGTTGTTAAGTGATCTCCTGGGTCGTTAAGTCAACTGAGCAAAAGAGCTGCCTGCTGAAGGATTTTAGCTCTGCGCAGAGCTGAAATCCTCCCGGCAGGCAACTCTTTGAAAGTGAAAGGGCTGCCTGCTGGAAGGTTTCAGCTCCACACGGAGGTGAAATCCTCCCAACAGGAAGTCCTTTCGCTCTCAAACATTCCTGCAGCGTGCTGAAGGGTTTCCCCTCCCCTCCGTGCACGGAGGGGGAATCCTTCATGGGGCTGCAGGAACGGAGCTGAAATCTTCAGGATTTGAGCTCTGTTCCTGCAGCCTGCATAAGGATTTCAGCTCCCCTCTGTCCCCTCCATTTGCAACCTTTCCTGCTGGCTTCCCCATTGACTTTCTGGGGAAGTTGTCAGAGAAGATTGCAAATGGTGATCACGTGATCGTGGGGCACTTGGCAACCAGTTATAAGCACAAGTCAGTTCCCAAGCGCCTGAAATGCAGTCACGTGACTGTGGGGGGGGGCACGTGATGTTTTATGACAGCTGGAAGTGCTTAACGGGCTGTAAAGCACACTTTCCGAGGCTGTCGTAACTTTAAATGGTCATTAAATGACCGGTGGTAAGTTGAGGAGTATCTGTATATCAATTTTCTCTAAGTATAATATGTGGAATAAATTTAATACTCATTTTCCATTGAAATTCCCATTGTTGTATATCTATTACTGCATTCAAATAATAGTTGCCTGGTTATTGCATATGTACTGTGACATGAATATGTAATGTGCATGTAATACTTGTAGAGTTCTTTTGGCTTTCTGTTCCTTACAAATAATATGGAATAAAAGAATATAATATTTTTCTTCCAACTTGGTTTATAATGAAAAGGATCAATTTTCTTACCAATTTTCTGACTAAATATTTATTAAAAGTTAATGGCGTTGTAAGCAGGTAGATAAAATTACTATGAGGGCCTCTATAATCTACAGGGCCTAGCTGTCTTTTAGATATAATTGAATATACGTATGTTTCAGATGTATATAAAAATGATACGATGTAGTAGTAAATGTATAAAAATGAGTAAGGTGTAATCACAAACTCTTTGTACGCTATCATGTCATATAATAATGCCTCTTACCACACAGTGCTCCTCAACACTTAATTGGCTCCAGTATCTCCAAATACAACGAAGCAATGCAGGAATAAAAGAAATATAGAAGGGGGGAAGGGGAGAGGTGTACCTGACTTTGAAAATCTTATAATGTGTAATACTGAACATTTGTTAGGCGCAATTTATAAATTACTAGTAAAATATGAGTCAGAATCCAAACATCCATGTGACACATAAATCTGAAAGATTGTATGGTTAAATGGATGCAGTATTTGAATCTACTTAGAGATGAAACAGTGGGAGTTTCGGTGGAAGAATCAGGGACAAAAGCAAATATATGCATGCATGAATCAGTGCCATGATGCAATTATTGATATGTTGTTGTTGTTTTTTTTACAATCTTATTCTCTCTTTGTAAATCCCAAATGTTGCAGAAGGTAGAGGATAGAAAGAAAATAGCAGGTCATTGAAGAGAATAAAGCAGTGCTTAACTTATAACATTAGGAAATAGCTCATTTCCTCCTAATTCTAACTCCCTTTTATAAATTGAACAGTTGGGTAATTAATTTAAACAACATTGAAAGAACTATACAGTTAAAAAGCACTGGGTAAAATCAGCATAGAATAGCCTACTGATCTGTTAACAAATATGCAAATATAATTATAAATATGATTTTTATGAACATATTTTGAATACTTTAGTATTTTCTTTTTAGACACATTTTTGTATCTCTCTGTGAGCCTGAAGCAACATTGCCCCTCTTTAATATTAATGTACTCTACTATAAGATACTGCTTCTTTGCCTCTGATTAATGCTGCCTGTCAATTATTTACAGATCCTGTGGTTTTGTGGAAGTTCCCGGAGGACTTTGGAGACCAGGTTAGACATGTGAGATTGATCCTTTTAAAATGACAGAGTAGTAAATGTAATAACAACAATAATAATATCAACATCACTTCCCTCCCTGCAGCAGCTTTCCTACTGAGCTGGAGAAAGGCAGATGGTTGGGGATAGCAGTAAGAGAATTTTCACCAGCTGATTTGATTATTAGAATTTGTTTGTGGCATAAAACATTGCACAGGATATTAGTTGCTTTCATGGCCTTCTTATGTTAATATTTTAATATGGGTGGATGTACATCTTTGATGGATTCTTTTTCCTACTACAGTTGTGAATAAGCTTCCTGTGAAATATATCAGCATAATTATGATTGATATACAAGATTAAAATTGTCACCAGGTGCATAACAGCAATAAGCTCAAATGGTGATTTTAGACATATTTGTTCACATAACCTGCTGTCAATACTGATAAATCACATTGGTTATGTATGTTTCATGATAGCTAATACCATTGGTGATATAAAGAAATGTCATACTCTGATGCTACAGTGTCAGTTTGTCTTACACCTAAAGCCAAACAGGTGGAGCTAAATATTAATGGCTTTGAATGTCATTTTTGGTAGAAATCTGTAGTATCAATTCAATGCATAAAATAACTGTAGTTATCAGAGGTGTACAGTCTGAGTTCTGAGGACACATAGTTTCAGAGTCCCTTCAAAAGTTACTACCATTTTATAGTACTTAGTTTGACAGAAGGGGAAAATTATTAAATACACACGGAATAATCACATTACTTGCATTGGACTCAGTTCAATGTATGAATTAATACTGGATTTAATAGATGTAATATAAATTAAAATTTTTATTTTACCCTGGCCTCACCTGCTTTTTTATTTTTAACCCTGAGTCCTGCCTACTTTTTTTGATGGATAGTCTATAATAAGACCTCAGTCTGATAAAAGTTGCCTGTTCCTGGTACACGTTGTTTTTAAAAATCCATGCTACCAAGTTATGACAAATTTTTATTTAATTCATTTGACTTCTTTAAAAAGCAAAACAAAATTGTAATTGATCTTTCATTAGTTCAAGAATATTTTTCAGTTTTGCTTTGAAAAATGTCAGATACTTGCAGAACAATAAGGTAGATATAAACAGCAGTTTGAATTCTGTTTTTAATTGTTTTTATTATGGGGATTTATATAAGAACTATGTTTGCCAATGCAGTTTACATCTCAGCATTTGTTGTGCTCTTGTACTAAGCACTGTTGTGCAAATGTGAGTTCCATTAAAATGAACAACACCAATTGCTAATATCAACAGTGAGTGTTCATAATAGCACAGAAAAATTTTCATTCTGGGGTTGTTGTTTTTATCGCAACAATTTTTCACAGAATAATAGGAGTTGAACTCTGTTCTAGCAGGCAGGAACTTCATTTGCAGATAGGTTGGGAATTAAGTTAATTTACCTTCGACTGAGAGCAATGTTTGTTACATTTTAGCCTGGCTATACTCACATATATTCATATACTAACAGTATATGTGTGTATGTGTGTGTGTACATATGTATGTATGTATGTATGTATTTATATTTCAAATTTAGATACCGCCCATCTCACAAAAAGTGACTCTGGGTGGTTCGCAATAAAACTCTGGGCGGTTCACAATAAAATATATATACTATGTCCAACGACTGTATTATATCATTCACTTGCCTTACCAGTTGCAATTCATATTTTAATTTGCTTTTACTGTGTTAATTAGGAACTGAGATTGATTTCCCTTTGAAGCTCTATAGATGCAGTTCCTGAAAACAAAAAGCAAAAAAACACAGGGGTTGCTTTTTCATAGAGTTTCTTGGGAGAAGGAGAGAAAAGGAGATTAATCTCTTCCTACCTACTCCCATCATTCTGATCAAGGTAGACGGCCTTCTGCTGCCTACCACATAACCAGTTGCTGATCAACTGAGTGATGAGGAAAAGTGGACATAGATCTCTACACAAAGAGAAGATGAAATATGAAGAGACCTTGTAGTTGACCATTTATGATGCAGAATATATAATGTGAGAGAACAGTCAGATTAAATAAATGCACATTATAATTTTTGAAATAAATGAACTTTATGCAGTATTTTTTCTTAATTATACCTGCTTGTTTTCAATTTTCTTGAAAGTGGCAGACCCTGTATTTCTGTAATAAATTTAAATGTGTATTCTTCCTGATTCTTGGGTTGTTGGATACCAGTAGCCCTGCTGTTTAGTAGATTTCTGATTTCCTCAAGAGAAACTAATCGATGGTTATTTATATCTATATAATGCATGTCCAGTATTTTTTGTATTTTAATAATTATAAATAGGTATCTTTGCTTTATCCTTGTGGTAATCTCAGATTGATATAATACATCTTCCTTTTTTATTTTTACATCAAATATTTGATATAATACCCTGGTTTGACTCTCGTTGACATACTTTTGGTCAAAATATCATCCTTAAGATCAAAATAGTGAGTATAGTGCATTCCAATATTCCTCTATAGAAGCAGCTTGATTTTCAAAAGTTTATTCTTTTGGCCCTGGATTTGAAGTTCTTTTTTCTGAATAGCTAGGTTAAAAGCTTAAAGTGCATGTTCATTGCCCCCCTTTCTTTCTTCCTCCTACGCCATGAGTAGGCAAGGAACTATACAGTCAGTATTATTATTATTATTATTATTATTATTATTATTATTATTATTATTATTA